CGAGATATTGATATTTAAGCATCTTGCTCATTTTAGAGAGGGGAGTTTTCGATTCAGGTTGTCTATCCATGCATTGTGACAAAACACAGTTTAGATCCCCTCCCATCAATAAAAGTCCAGTGCTATGCTGTATTAGATTGTCCAAAATTATTTTGATAAATCCAGGTTTATCTTCATTCGGTGCATATACATTTATAAAGGATACTTCAGTGCCATCAATTAATCCATTTACCAGTATGTATCTCCCTTCAGTGTCTTTATGTATTAATGTTGGTGTGAAATTTATTTGTCTATGTATCAGGATGGATACTCCCCTTTTCCTCCCTGACTGATGTGAAGAATAGTATACTTTATCTGCCCGGGATTTTTTAAGCTTATCATGTTCATCATCAGAAAGATGGGTTTCTTGTAGAAATGCCATCTGACAATTCAGTTGCTTTAATTGGTTTAGAAGTTGCTTTCTTTTGATAGGGCTATGAAGTCCCTTAACATTATAGCTTATAATTTGTGTATATTATGTATAGCTGTGGGTATATTTTCCTGCAGTGAGGGGAAAAAAAACAAAAAAAACATGTATACATTCTTATCTTCAGAGAAATCCATTTAAAAATCTGGGTAAAGAAACATTGAGGTGGTCTTATTATCCTTATTCTTAACGCATGATCCTGGGGGAACATTAGGATCAGAACACGTAAAACAAAAAAACAATTCAAGCTAGAATTCGCTGTCATGCTTAACGGGGATGTGGGGTCTAGTCCCGGCCCGCAAAATTAGCAGGCTATAAAGGGCACAGTCTAGATGGAGTTTGACTGTACTTATGTGTGCTAAGATATAAGGTACCAGGCACTATTCAGACCCCCGCAGGATATCTTACATGCGAGACATACAGCAGAACGGCATATAAAAATAAAACTGTTCATTCGACACTTTTCTGGACTACCTGTAAGTGTCTCGGCAATAAGTTCAGAAAAAAGTGTCTAATGGGTGACGTACGGCGCATACCTGCGCTAGTCCTCCAAGTGACAGAGTACACAACCAAAATAATAATGATCTTGTCCCCACCTGGAAAGTTTTAACACTCCACAGGGATGAATCTGTGTGATTACTTTTATTTTAATGCGGGCAAGAAAAGTGTTTCATTACTTCTCCGTCTCAGAGATGATTTCCTTCCGAACATATTTCCAAAGCCTCTCGAGGATCCAGAAATTCCTTTTCCTCATTTTTGTATGAAATCCGCAGTTGGGCAGGGTAGAGGAGGCCATAGTGAACTCCCCGTCGTCCCCGCAGCATCTTCCTCACGTCTGTGAATGCTGCTCTGGCTTGGCGACGCTAGAGGTGTAGTCCGGGAATATAGCTATGCGCCCCCGGCTGTAGTTTAGCGGAGCTAAGTCTCGGGCTCTTCTCAGAACTTCCGCAGCGTCTCCATCATAGTGCAGCTTGGCGATGATAACCCGTGGCTTGCCCCTGGTTTCCACAGGGCAAGGCTGCGATGTGACCGGTCTATCTTCATATCTCGGTCCATCTGCAGTACTTCTTTAAGAAGTTTGGAAACAGCCGTGGGAGAACTCGAACACCAACTATCCGTATATTCCCCCTTCTCATTCTGCCCTCCAAGTCTTCCCTCCTTTCTCTGAGTTTTTCGACTTGACTCTGAAGGCAGGCCACAGTAGTCTGAAGTGAAGCTACTTCATCAGACCATGTAGACAGTCCTCCCGCCATGTCTTTAAAGTCTGCCTTCACACGGTCCATTTCAGAGCGAACTGTGTTCGTATTATTGGTCATTTCTGATCTCATCGCTTGCAGTTCACTTTTCAAGGCATTAAAGTCTTCAACTAATGCAGTTTTCAGATCTTCCCTGATTATTTTAGATATATCTTCCCTGAGGGATGACAGGATATCGGACTTGATCGCTTCAGCAGTCATACCTGTAGCTTCGGTCTGTGTAGGCGGGTAGTGTTTCGGGCTACCTGAAGTATTGTGCGTCGAGGGGGGTTCAGGCCTCGCCGGGTTGTATTTGTATTTTCGAAGATTCGTTGTCATTCAAGTTGATATTCCTGCTTTAATTTGAAATATGAACTCTTAAATGTCCTTTGAGCGAGATTTTATATTACTTTAGATATGAGCAAAGCCGTTTAATTAACAAATTCTGCAAGAGCTCTGAAAGAAACGTCTTACTCCATGTCTTGCTCACTCGCGCCCTAGATAAATTTTTTTTTTTTTTTATTTTTTTATTTTCTTTTTTTTTTTTTTTGCTTTTCTTTTGTTTTTTTTTTTTTGGTATTTTTTTATTTTTTTTTTCATTTTTAATTTTGTTTATTTGTTGCATTAATCAGTTTAGAATGTATTTATTTGTGTGATGATTTGAAATCTGAAAGTCCTGAAGAAAGGTAAGAAAGGCACAAAGGGAACACTTTCCCACTGCCACAGGGAAACGGTTTATTATTCAGTTTATCACAGTTCACTGAAGCAGTGAGGTTCTGCCATCAGGGGGTAAACATTTGGATATGTAGGGTGGGAAACTGCATTTAACATGAAAAGACGTTCACATCAACTCCTAAAATATTCTGTCTGTCTCTATAATCAGGATTTAAATTATTAAAAAATGAAGTTCTGATTAGGGATTCATCAATACCAATACTGGAATCGGGTATTGGGCTGATACCACGCTCATTTACTCATACTCATAAAAATTCACAGATACCTGCTGATGCCATGAGACGTAAGCCGAGTGTACACTGCCACTAATAAACAAACGACTTAAGCTGGCAGTGAAAGAGAGTCAGAATCTGCTCTCAGAGAGATCATCGTCCATATACACTATTTATCTGTAAAGACACCATGCAGCACTGTACTAATGTAAAATATGCTAAGTGTCTATTTAAGTGAGAAGTAAAATATCTACAGTACAGTATTACAGACAAACAGTGTAGTATTCATAAACTTGCAGATCTGTGTGTCATTTTCAAGCTGAGAGTTGTCAGTGAGTAAGAGAGCGTACAGAACTCAGTGCTTTAACACTAGTAAAAAGAGCGTCACCAGCGATTCAGTCTGAGAATTTGGTGATGGCCACGTTAACTCATTAAAAATCTGCCACTAAAGGAGTTTCAGAGAGTGCATTTGCACATTGGCCACAGAAAAAACAGCTTTCTGTGTGCTGCTGTGATTCTGTCACTGAAAAAATGTTTCCTTTATTGTTCACTACATTTCTTTACAGTGTGAGCAAACAAACTTATTCAGAGTGATTATCGGATCAGTAAGCCCTTACGATGGATTTGTTACATATGTTTTTCAT